ATTAAGTAACATATGATTATCTATTTATATACAATAGTCTATCAATAAAAGTATATCTAGCTATATATATAACTTTAGTTATTATATAATTAAGAGTTTTACCTATAGGTTATCTACTATATGCTATATCTAAAACCTGCCTATAAGTTCCCTATTTAAACTTTCTGATTTTTAACACATATTGTATATATTTGCAAACTCTATATTATTATTGTTATGATATCTTAGATTAAAGCTATCTTAGTTACTATTTATATCAAAGTACTACCTTATTGGATGTTACTAAGTATCCATATTCCTTCGAATTTATTTTTGATATAAGCTTACTAAGCTGGTACCAAAATTATTACTTAGATTCAATTTAGTATATTTCATATTTACTAAACTGGTTTTAATGCCAAAAGTGTTTGAATTTTAGTAAATTTATTTCTTTTTCGTGGCTTTTTTTATATTTATCATATTACTTGCTAGTATGCTTTTTTTTATTTTTAGTATATTCATTGCATCTCTTGCATCAAGCACCAATTTTCTATATTAGAAAACTTTTTTTTAGAAACTTCTTTATACACTGATCTTCTATTTACATAAACTTAGCTACAGAGCTTTATGTATATTTATATGCTTTCATAGATTACAGAGTTTTGCTTCTAGCTAGAATTGAACCATTTATCTTGTTTGTGAAGGGAAAGACATTTAGACCACTAGGCTATAGGACTTCATTTAGATCAATTGTATTTTTTGATTAGTTTTTATAATTTTATTTCAATTTTCATTTTTTTCATTTATTGTTAATATAAATTTGATTATGCTAATTAGCATATATTTTTAAAATAGTGCATTTATTGGATTTTATGCTTTTAATAATTACTTTTTACTTTAAAGAATCAAAGAAAAAAAACAAATTACTAAATTAAATATATTAATATTTTAATAATGATAAGTATTATTATTATAATTTTATTATAATAAATTAACAATATTATATGATTTTTAAAACTTTTTTTGGATAGTGATTTTACTTTGATCACTTTTTACCTATTCCTAGTTAAAATTATTTTAGTTACCAAAAATATAAAAATGCTGTAATACTATAAATCAACCTGAATTTAGACATCTATGTATATAGTAAAGAACAAAATATATTAAAATTAAAAAAAATTATTAAGCAAATATATTTTATTAATTTTTAATATAAAAACTGTAATATAATTTTTGATCAAATCTATTATAATATAACAATATATTTGATTCTATTAGATAATTAGCTACCTCAACTTTATGCATATATAATATCTTCTAAATATTTGTGATAAATTTTGAGTGCATTTCTGTATTTATTAATTTATAAACTTTATATAAATTTTCTAATAGGATTAAAAATTAAGTAATTTGATTGGTTAATTATTACAAATAATTACAATTATATGAATGTCTTTTTATATTATATATATATTATTACCAGATATATTAATAACAACAATAACACTACTACTAGATATAACAATAATAATATTATTATCTCAAACACCAAGACATAAACTCTGTAAAAAAAAAACATGTACAAGCTAATGATTTTGATATTAATAATAATCATAATAATATTAGTGATAATAACAATTTGTTTTAATATGTATATACTTGTTATGACATGTTAAGTTATTAGACCACTTTTTAGAGTACTCAAATGTTTCTTTTAAAGGTTTATTAAGTAACAAGAAATATTTAGTTGAACTAAAGAATATTTTAAATTACAAGCAAAATCAGATTCTTTATATTTTTAAAATATCTAAACTTTTTCTTTATTAAGATATATTAATAATTCTGAAACCAATATCACAAATAAAGAAATACCAGTTTATAATATTCCTGTTATTGTAAAAGATATGTATATTAGCTTTGTAACTGAATAATATAATGTTAAAGGTATTGATGATAATTTTGAACAATGGTAGATTGCTAAAACAAATGCTTCTGCTTATAAGATCTACTAATTCTGAATGAGGAGTTGGTTATGTTTTTTCTTATAGCAGTCAAGGATCTTTAAATTTTTTGCAGAATTAATTATGTTAAGAACTTATTTTTTTGTCTCTGTGGCTATATGAAGAATAACTAAAGTCATTTTTTTTACTAACCTCTGAACTCTTTTATTACTTATTAGCTACTTGTAATGTATTTACTATAGTTATGATAATAATAACTAATTTTTTTTATTTTTTTTTAAGAATGAAAGATAGTAAACAAATCATTGAAATGTATTTAATTTTTATTGTAATGTTTAAGACAATAATTAGATTAAATGTATATTATCATTAATTTATTGAAATAAAAAAGTCTAATTAAGTTAGAATTTTAAAATTTTGCAATAATAAAATTATTACTATATTTTATAAGTGTTATTTTAAATTTATTTGTTAAAACAGTTATAATTTTATTTGGCTCTTTAGTTCAAATTTCAATATCAAATTCTGTAATATAGTTCTATACATAATAAATTGGATGCTTTTTAACAATTTTGAAATACATAGTAATTGATTAAAATTTTATTTTCAATGATCACCAAATTATAACATGATTTCTTATATTTCAGAGTACTGCTTCATATTCACTTTTGTAATTACAAGACTATTCAATACTGATCTGGGCAATTGATTGTTATTAGCCAATTAGATGAAAGTCTTTTACCAGAAATGAATGTATACCTAAAATCTAATTTTCAATTAGTTAGTATGTTACATCTTGTATATTCTTCACCTACTATTCAAATCACTATTTGTCTTTGTCAAAGCCACAAATCTGTATTGCTAAAATGAATACTCATAGTTGAAGTTGTTGTTAAGTCATGACCTTTTGCTACAAAATCTCGAATCCATTTATTAAAACTTTATTATTACTCGAATCACTCAAATTATAAATACTCATTAACTTATTGTTTAAACTACTAATTTACTTATTGCTAAAATTAACTTATCAATATTAAAGACACTAAATGATCTACTATTAGAACAGTGAACTTACTTAATGTTCAAATCACTTTTATGTTTATCTTATTTTTAATGTTCACTAATAATACAACAATTATTTTCTTGAAAATAGTCCTGAGATTTAGGCCAGATAAAATAGTGCATCAGGAATAATTTAATAATAATAATTAATATTAAAAAATTATATACTTATATATATATAATATTCAATTAAAGTTTTAAAAAAATCTTAATAATATAACAATAAATTTATTTAAATATTCAAATAAATTTATTTTATACTAATAATTTTAATATATAAATAAGCACTACTAAAAAAAAACAAGATTTTGAACTTTGAATTTCAAAGCTGAATTGATTTATTAAAAGTTTATATATAGTTTTTTTTTAATAGTATTCAAATACAAATGAAAGACTATCATTTTGTTTATTGTTTTTGTACATTATTATATAAGCTACATGCTATGCATAATAGTTATACATGAAAAATTTTGATTTAACAACATGGTTCAATCTTTCTAAAGTCTTAGAGGATTTAATTTGACTTTCTTCAGGGTTTTAGCTTTACTAAGGAGTTTTAACATTTTGTCAAAGTTTCAACATTTTTCCAGAGTTTTGCCAGTTTCAATTTTTGCTGTTTACCAAAAATAGTTTCGCCTAACAGTAATCAACTAAATTTTTAAACCATTGACTAAAATTTCCTTTTATATTATTTTATTATATATATTGTAATTATATAAAAATGTATTTATTAACCTAAATAAAGCTTCTTGTTCCTAGTTTTAACATGACTACATCATGTTGCTATCTATTAATTTCAGTATTGGCATATGACCTATTATGACCTTTATAATCTTTATAACTATTATAGGTTATAAGGTCATAAAAATATGAGATATGAATTATAACCTAGGTTATAATCCTATCCAATAGAAATTGCAAATAATTAGTCAAAAAACTATACAACAAATTAATAAATTTCAATACTATTTAACCCAAATTTATCTTATATAGAGACCTAATATTAACTCATGAGTATTATTATAGCTAATTTAGATTGCATCCTAAGATTTAAAGAGTATTAACTAATATGTTGAAATGAGATTATTATTAAATTTTATAACAGATAGGTTAATTAATTAATGTTTAATGTTATTTCTTATATAATTTTTTATTTTCAAGGTATTTTATAGTAATGTACATGTCAATTAATTGTCTGACATCCAACAAAGAATTATAATTTAAGGGATCGTTGATTAAATTTGATCAGATTAGTAAATCAAATTATATAAAATAATTCTATTTAATAAAATATACCAAGACATTATACCTCCATGAATAATATTATAAAATATGTTTAATTGACAGAATTGATATCAATAATTGAATAAATTTTATAAAAAAAATATATACATTAATAATTTTTATAGAATTGTTAATGAAAACTTTATGGTTATCTTTTTTAATATCACTACACTAGATCTTATTTTGATTTCAATAATGCATCCAATTTTATTAATTAATAAGTACTTTACTTTGCCTAATTCTACTAGTGACTAATTAATAGATATAATATTTATTCTTTTCAACTTTGATTTCTTATTCATACCATATATAAACCAAATTTGTTCCTATATTATTACTCATTAAAGCAAGTTTTTGATAGTAAATGAATGCCTTAAGTTTATTTTTTTTAGCACTGAATCCATATTTATTACAATAGCTAACCATCTGTACTGTTTGTGTTACTAGATAATTCGAAAAACTAACAATTGCTTATATTCTTTTTTTTGACCTAATTCTTAAATTTTTTTAACTTTATTAGTAATTCTTATTAATTAATATGTTTACTTATATTTTTGACTCCAATTTCATTATCATTCTAAATTTTTGTAGATTAATGAATATCTTATACTTATCATTTTAACTTCAATTTCTGGGTTCAATTCTACTAGTTTTTTTTTTTTATTAACAAAAAAACATGAATGTCTTGTTTATTAAAAGTTAGTAAGTTCTAAATCAAAATATAGTAGCATTTCTAAAGAAGAAACAAAAAGTGAATCTAAAGACCATTTGGCTGTTTCATCATCAGCAGGATGTTTTTCTCATCCTCCTAAACTAAAATCTGCATTTTACTTACTTGATAATAAAATTTTATTATCCTTGTTTTCAAATTGGTTCTTATGCTCTTCAAACTTAATCCATTTGCTAATTAGGTTTTTTTACCTTTGTTCCTTTTTTGCAACTAGATATTTGTCTTCTTCAAGACTTTGGTTTGTCTGTCTAGTAGTTTTATCTTTCTCAATATCACTGTTGTCACTCACTTGATAATCCAAATTAGTAATGACTAATTCTTGTTTGACATCTTTACTTGATGAAATAGGTGTTGCAACATGTAGTCTGTGAACTTGGTTATCATATTTTTTTGTATTTTTTATTTTACGAGACCAAAGGATATTACTCCAAATTTGGCTCATTGCCAAAACTTTATTTTGCTATAAATTATATAACAAATATCAATCATTATTAGTTTAATTATATAAAAATAAATCAATAATAAACCAACCTGTAATTGGATTCTGTGATTAGTATGTAATAATCCTATGAAAGATTACAAACATTTTACAGATACAGAATTAATGCAAACTCCATGAACATAAATTACTGTTTATGCTAATTCTGGACTTACTCCTTCAGTTGATTTCCAAAAATCTATTAAATTTCTCTTAAAATGTTTAAATGATTCCATATTATATGGATCAGTTTCATGTTTGTATTTTATTAGTTTACCTAAAATAGACACAAGTTTATAATTAAACCATGCCTCATAATAATATTTAAGCCATTGTTCATTATGAATCCATGATAAATTAGCAACTATGCTATTAAATTTAGTAAGTTTGAATTCAGGATGTAATGCAAAAGAAAGAATTATTAATAGTTGCTCTCATTCATTTCAATGTGATTCAATACATGCTTTTATTTTTGTTCCAAATTCAAAATCTTCATGATATTTAAATATTTTCATCATATACCCAAAACAATGAAGAACTTCATATAATTGAGCTGTATCTTTATGTAATTTATTTAAAAAGCCACAAAGAGGATATAAAAGTTCTTGAAGATTAGCCAAGTTTATTCAAAATTGAGTATCATTTATAATATTAGCAATGTCATTAGGAAGTTTTTGGGTGCCATTATGCAAGGTTGTTCGATTGTTAGCTGACTCAGATGGGATACCATCTGTTTGAATTATGTTGCTATGATGGTCATTAAACTTGAAAGAGAGAAACTAATAAAAAAAAAAAAATTGGTTTAAATTAAAATACTAATCGTAATTATTTGTAAAACATAATTATATTTTATACTTTAAGTGCAGAATTTGATTTAGAAATAGAATGAAAGCAAAAGTAGTATGAATTTCATCTTGTATCTTCAGGCACAATTAATGTGATATGTTTGCTATAAATATGCATTTGTTTATCTCTAAGATTGCCTATAAAAAAAGGTAACTTGTAAAAAAAATATATAATTCTTATTGCTTTCTTAGATGTTCTTTAATATTGACTTTATTTTTTAAAAATATCTTCAAATATTAAATTCATTTGGTAGGCTATACATAGCAAAAAAATCTTCAAAGAATACTTTTTTCATAATTGTCAGCTACAAAAATAAAATAATAATTAATAAATAACTTAAAATAATAATAATAATAATAATATGATAGAATGAAGCTTATATTATGAATTAGTAAAATCTACTATATAGATCACATGAAGGTAAAATCTACTTTTGTATAATAAAAAATATAGCTAAATGTGAATTTCATCTAATATAATCTATGTAACAAATTTTACTAATTTACAGTGTAGGTTTTATCCTGTTCTATAAGATTTACTGCACAGCTGCATATTTACTAACAGAATCTGAAACAAATGTCTTGATATTTATTTGTTTTTTTTTAGTTTCAATTATTAATTATTCAATATGATTGATTACATTTTGAGTTTGTGATCTTTCAGAGCTAATATCATATGTACCTTATATTAAAGATTGTTCATTTGTAGTTATAAATACAATACCCCAAATATGTTCTTGTTTTATGTTTGTCTAGCCATCAAACATTGTAATTACCTCATCTGTATCACTTTGTGCAGTTTTAATTATATTTTCTTGTAACAATTGCAAACTTTTTATTAATACTTTGCTACCTAAAAGTTTGCATTTGGGTAATTTTATTTCTGGTACTAAAAACTCAAACACTATAATAATATCTTCATTCTCAATAAATATAAAAAGTAATATATTAGAAATAATTATTCTTAAAAATAATTATTCAAATCATGATTAATCATTAGCTAAAAGAGGTTGATAAAAAAAATTTGAAATTACAGACTGTTGACTATTGATAGATGAATGGCTTGAAGTAGTTGAAATGACTGAATTAACATGTAAATTTATAGACTCATTAGTCTTAAATTCTTCACTTACATTGAATATTATCTTTTAGATTGTAGGCCAATACAGGCAAATTTGCCTGCATTTTTGTATTT